TGTAGTTTTTCCTTTAGGACGATTCCACAGGTATCCCACAATTGACAGCAGTAGTCAAAATAGGGTTGTATTAGGGCGTTGTAAACTGTTTGTAAGAATTCCTGAGGAACACAGGTTTTCATACGTTTAATAACTGCAATGCCTGCATTAACTTTCTTAATAATCATATCAATATGATGTTCCCAGTTCAATTTTTCGTCTAAAGTGACACCGAGGCATTTGTAGCAATTTAATCTTGGGACAGGAACATTATTAATTAATATCGGTATTCCTTGAGGTATATTCTTAATTTTATAAGGGGATGCAATAAACATACATTTAGATTTCTTAGGATGAATTTGTAGCTTATTATTCTCCATCCATTGCGTAACAATATTTAGGTCATAATTTATGTTGTCAATAAGATCATTTACATTGTGTGATGACGCGTAAATTTCCGTGTCATCAGCATAAAGACCCGGCGTGGTTTTTTGGAGACATTGTGGTAGGTCATTGATGTAGAGCAAAAATAACAACGGCCCCAGGATCGACCCCTGGGGGACCCCACATTTTAATTTTCCAACGGAGGATAGTATCCCATTAGCTACGCATTGTTGTTCCCTATTCGTTAGGTATGATTCAAACCAGAGTAATTCATTACCGCTAATGCCAAAGTTGGATCTCATTTTACTTAATAAAATATTGTGATTTATTGAATCAAAAGCTTTCCGTATGTCTAAAAATACTATACAGTTTATTTTCCCCTCGTCCATGTTATTTAAGATTTCGTCACATATTTTAATGAGGGCTGATAAGGTTGAGTGTTGTGGCCGAAAGCCAGATTGATACTTTGAGAGAAGATTACTTTCATTCACGTACGTATACACTTGCCTAAACACTTCTTTTTCAAAGACTTTACTTACAATTGACAAAATAGAAATGGGTCTATAATTTTCACATTTACTTTTATCTTCAGATTTGAAGATAGGAATTACTCGAGCTCGTTTCCAATCGTTAACATAAATACCGCTTTGAAGAGATAAATTAAAAATATACGTTAAGGAAGGGGCAATAATATGGGCAGCTAGTTTTAGTATTTTCGCTGGGATGGCATCTAGGCCAGTGGATTTATTTGCTTTGAGGTGTTTCAAATTACAGAGGACACTATCAACCTTAATGAGAGAAAAATTAAATTTATTATTAGTTTGGGAATGGATGTTTGTGTCAGAGAAATTAAGATTTTCTCCACATTCGTTTCGCGTATCATTTTCATCAGGGTACACTCCAATGTTGATGAAGTGTGTATTAAAATGCTCCGCAATGAGATTAGGGTCTGTGATGACATTTTCACCAACTTTGAGCTCACTAATATAATTGGATTTATTTTGTTTCCCTAGCAGGGAATTAATTGTAGACCAGCATTTTTTTAAATCCTTAGTTTCTGCACATTCAGATATTTTGTTGATATAGAAAGTAGATTTTCTCTCACGTATTAGTTTATTAACTTTATTACGCAAACTCTTATAATTATGCCAATGTGAATCAGATTTCAATTTTATGGCCTTTTTCTTATGGTAGTCTCTTCTTCTCATAGCTGACCTTATTTCCGCTGTCATCCACGGAGTGGTGTGTTTCCCTGATCTTATATGTCTAACAGGAGCATGTTTATCTAGTGTTCCGATAAATAGTTCCTTCCACTTATTCCAACTCAAGTTTGGATCACTTGTTGTGAAAACAGTTTGCCAAGGAATATTGGTTAGGTCGGATATAAATTCTGTTTCAGAAAAGTGTTTAAAATTACGAACTTTTTTAATAGTCGGCCTTCGTTTAAGTGGTTTGAATTTGTGAATTGCATATATTAGGCTATGATCTGATATACCAACGTGAAAGACGCCAGCATGAGAAATTTTTTCAGGAACATTTGTCAGAATAAGGTCAATTATAGTAGCAGATGTTCTCACAACCCTGGTTGGTTCTTCTATTAACTGAGCCATGTTATATAATGAATTTATAGATTGAAATCTAATTGTATGCGCTTCTGGTGGGGATTTAGCAACATCACAGTTTATATCTCCTAATAGGATTAGTTCTTTGTTTTCAGCATCACAATTAAGAAGAAAAATATCGTATGCATCAAATACATCCGTACTTGAATTAGGTGGTCTATACCATGTACTAACTAGAAATGACCTGTTGAAAGGTTGATTAATTTCGATACAGATCATTTCCAGATTATTTGGAACTAAGTCATTTCTAACCAAAATGGAGAGGTGTTCTTGAACATATATTACAACACCACCTCCATTTCTATTTCTATCTCTTCTAACTAGTTTATAACCTGGTATACTTATTTCAGAGTCATTTACTGATGAATCAATTTTTGTTTCGTTAATAGCAAAGATGTGAAAGGAATACTGTGATAAAATATAACGAATATGTTCAATATTTTTTAATAGACTATTGATATTTAGACTACCAAGTTTCAGACCTTTTAGTTTTCCCATCCATTTGAATTGGCAGGTTACATCTTCATCATGCTGCGACTCGGGTGTTGGGGGGCTGATAGGGCTAGAGATGTTAAAAAGTTCCCCAGTTGTAATAGTTGGCTTGTCTGAAAATCCTGACCAAACCTACTGTTTCCTTGCCTTGTTCTTGTTTGGGTGGTCGTTTTATTGCCTTCTCGAATAAATTTAATGAAATTGACAGCTAAATAGGCAGACCCTTTAGCGTTTAGGTGGATCTTGCTACCGTTTAAGGCAGTCCTATCAATGTTCTCATTGTTTATAAAACCATAATCTTGATTTAAACACGTTTGGGCAATTAGTGAATTTGTTTTCCTTATTTTGTCTGTTAGGTCACAGTCTTCCCGGGTAACAATGCTTGATATTCCAATTCTTGATGTTGGAAATTTAGTTTTTAATTTAGAAGCTAATTGCCCAACTTTTTCAGCACAGGTTTCTGCTGTGTCAACAGGCAGATTGTTTGTTCCAGCGTGAATTATAATGTGGGACGGTGTTGATTTTAACTTGATTTGGTCTAATTGGTTAGATATTTCATCAGCTGTTTTGCCCGGAAAGGTTATTTTCGTAACATTCCTACTCGATATTTTTTTCGGTATTATATGTTTGATTATTGAGTCCCCAATAATAACAATTTGGCTTTCTCGATCTAAGTTCATGTTGTTTTGGGGATCATTATGGTTATTTGGTGGTAACTCTGGCTTACCTTCTATCATCTGTGTACCCGAGTCTTTCCGGTTAGGCTCTTGTTCATTGATCACATTACATTCAACAGTGACATCCTCCTCAGCTACTTGAGTACCGGTACTCAAACCTTCCCCGACAGTTTCTTGTTTGTCATTATCAGTATGTTCACTATCATCCTCTACTGTAAGTATTTCAAACGCATTCTTGCATTCAAGTATGTTTCCAAACTGTCGTTTTGAACCTTTTGGTTTTGCCATGCCAGAGTTTTGTTTTAATTTATCATCAGCATTGATGAAGGCACCAATTTCATTGTTACGCCAGTCGTTCATCACAATTTCTTTTCCTTGTAAGATTTTAAGTGCAGTTACTAGACTTTGCTTTTCCTCATCTAACAATTTAAGTTTAGTATTGAGATCTGACATTACCATAGTGGTATACTCAATTTTTCCTTTAAGGGCAGTATTTTCTTTCTTGAGATTTTCATTCTCATGTTTTATATTAGTAATATAGTCGTGTGATATCTTTTCATGAAGGTCATCAGCCTCCTTTAAGTTGCATACCTGCAGTGCCACGTCATCAATTTTTGTGTTGAGCTTCTCCTCAATAGTTAATATTCTCTCTAAGATTTGTGCAAAAGCATCCGCCTCACTCAGTTCAGACGAATTTACTACGTTTGCTGTTAGGTTAAGACACTCTTTCTCTTTTTCATTAACAGTGTGGCCGTCCATGCCGTCGTCAGAAGTAATTCTTGTGTTCTGGTCAGCTAAATTTTGGGATATTGAGGCCAGTGTCATCAGTTGTTCCTCGATTGATCCTATGGTGTCCTCGCTGACAGTTAACGTTTTTGAGTTTCCATACCACTTAATTGCTGTCGCTTGATTTTGGTACAGCTTAGCATCGCCTCCAGGGGAGAGCCATTTCCCGCCCGTTAAGTTCAACGTTTCTTCTACGAAAGCTTGTAGTTCATCAAATGACCCTGTCCATAATATTTTCCCCTTGCTATTAAGACACAAGTTGTGTATAAGACTTCCTCCTTTGATTTCTTGATTCATTTCGGCTGATATCGATTTACACGTGAATGTATTCGACGAATCGTCTAAATTTTCTCAACCAATTAGTTTTTTTTTGTAGGGATTTAAGCTTGTTTAAGGATAAACAAGTTTAATAGCCGCTAATTTCAGTAAATTTGTAACAGATCGCGTAAAGATTGAGCCAAGATTTAACACAACAATGTTAAAATTTAGCGGAGCTCGAAGTTAGACGTCCATGTTGACTCCGGTGTTTGGTTAGTTAGTTAAGTTAAGTTAACCGTGGTTTTTGTTAGGTTATTTCTGGACAGTACTGTAAACGTGGTACGTTTTCGTATTAAAATTAGCTACTCGGGGAAAACCCGGAAATTATTGTCAATGCTGATATTTATTCATCTATACTCTGTATGTCTATTCTGCACGATTGGAAATGAATTTAAGAGGCTATCTCTCTAAGAACCGACCAATGGCTCTAGGATCAAAAAATGAAATTCTTCGTTACTTTCACAATGAAATGTATTTATCCCAAGAATAAACAAACACAGTTTGGAATTTTGAAATTTTATTTATTTTAAAAATTTTAGCGATTTTCCGTCGCGCATAATCCTCTGTCTAAGTAGGCATAAAAATTAGCCGAATGCAAATACATATAATTTTAAAAGTGTTCAACCAAATTTTATGATTTTTCGCCCACGAACGTGAAAGTTATTCCACTTTGAAACTTACCTGATTTTATGATGCTTTTACGAAACTATTATGGCAAACTTTAGCGATAACAAGCACCAAGTCCAAATAAGACTTTGTACACATATCAAATTCGACTTTAAATTTCTCAAAAGTGGCTCCCAACTGGATTCAGTGACTAATATGGTCGAAAAAAGGGAAGTTTGAAGTATCAATATCCACAATAAAACTTGTTACCAACCGCGATTTGAAGACTCCAGAGCCTCTGAAATTTGTTACCTTCAATTATCGCGGAGTTGAGACGTCAGAGCTTCCAGTCATTTGTAAAATGCGCTATCGTTCCGGGTTTTTTTCTCGCACAAGCCGTTAAGCGATTTTCCGTGTTCACGAACATCACAAGTTGTTTTAATTCGAAAAGATTTTGCTCGATGCAGCGAGGTAAACGTTACGGCGAGGTAAGCGAGATAAAATAGAGTCATTGCTAATTTTGGCACTTCCCGTCATAAACAGTTTAATCGTGCAACAATTACTGCCATTTATTAGCAGAAAACCAGAAACATGACGAATTGTCTTGTTTCTATGGCTTCTCTTTCGTGTAATGCACAGCAATACATTGACAATTTCGTTTCCCAACTACATCTTCACATGATACTATACATTATAGGGGTAATTTACGCATTAATTAACATTCCCAATTTTAAATACATCGTGAACAGTTTCTACCATTATTCTGGCCGACGTTTCATATAAGAGTCCCCACATGCCCTGACCTACCCACACCCCCAGTACGACTTTGCCCCAAACCCAACCCTACCCAAACCTCGCGTTTTTGTGACGTCATTTGAAAACTCTTGTATGAAAATAAACTTCACCCTTTATTAGCTCTCCTTAAACAAATTCCAGGTGAAGTTGATATAAACTTCCTCAAATGACATCACAATAGAGGTGGGGTGGGTGTAGGGTAGGGGTCAGGATAGAGTTGGGGTGGGGGTCATTTGGAGACTAGCTATTCCATATATGACTATTCTATTAAATTTCATCCAAGTCCTGGTTGAAACACTAATCAAAACCCTTATTCAAAGTCCACGTTTACCTCGCTGCATCGATCGAAATCTTTTCGAATTAAATCCACTTGTGATGTTCATGAACACAGAAAAATCGCTTAACTACGATGATATTAACGGCTTGTGTAAAAAAAACCGCAACAACAGCACATTTTTCAAGTGACTGGAAGCTCTGACGTCTCAACTCCGCTATAATTGAAGCTAAACAAAACAGCCAAATTGTATCAATTTTCAGAGGCAGTCGAGTCTTCAAATCGCGGTTGGTAACAAGTTTTATTATGGATATGGGTACCTCAAACTTCCCTTTTTTTAACCATATTAGTCACTGAATCCAGTTAGGTGCCACTTTTGAGAAATTTAAAGTCGAATTTGATATGTGTACAAAGCCGTATTTAGACCCGGTGCTTGTTATCGCTAAAGTTTGTCATAATCGTTCTGTAAAAGCATCATAAAACAAGACAAGTTTCAAAGTAGAATAATTTTCACGTTGGTGGGTGAAAAAATCATAAAATTTGGTTGAATACTTTTAAAATTATATGTATTTGAATTCGGCTAATTTTTATGCCTGATATAGGCAGAGGATTTTCTGCGCGACGGCGCGGGATCGAAAAATCGCTGAAATTTTACAAATTAATAAAATTTCAAAATTCCAAATAGTGTTTGTTTGTTCTTGGGGTAAATACATTTCATTGTGAAAGTAACGAAGAATTTCATTTTTTGAGTCGAGAGTCATTGGTCGGTTCTTAGAGAGACAGCCTCTTAAAATCTGTCTTGCCATTGTTACAATGCAAAATTTGCACGTTTTAGGCTTTAAGTAAGAAGTTACCCATCACACCTTGTGCGCTTAGGGTTTAAGATTATTGAAGGACAACCTGTTTTGAAACAGCTGTATATGAAATAACGTCGAAAACCGTTCATCACATAATGAAGGATGACTTTGCCGGCTTCGCTATGTTCTCATGTATAAATTAGCCGAGTGGAGTGGTATACTCTCGCCCTTGGCTTACGCCCAGAACAGCGTTTGACACGGGTATGAACGCTTCTGTAAAACGGTATATTTCCCACAACTTTGCTTGTTTGGTTGATCAGGCATGTTAAGGAAAGTTTAATACGCCTGATTATAAAAAACATTTTAATTTAGAACGCTATTTTTGTAAATTGACTATTGTCTGCACGAATGCATGGGGAATCGGGTATTATACAATCAAGTGTCCTTCAAGGCATCATACTGTCTAATACAATAATTTGTTAATACAATAAAACTGAAATAATGCAGCAATACCGCATTATTTTATATCATAAAGGAAAAAGAGTTGAATGCCACCGTTGTATTTGTATATACACGGGACTTTGACAAGAGGTATCCAATTTCTAAATACCCTATATATAATTGCCAAAGGACCATGTAAATATAGATTGGAACTTTTTCAAACAATCAAAGTGGCGCAGTTAGCCATATAGAAACTAGACCAAGGTCATGCTATGCAAATTTTAAAATATTTAATTAAAATTATTCAAACCTTTAGAAATGTTTTGTCTTCAGATTATCTATAACAGTACGTTTATTATAGCATAGCATGACTAGTTGCCATGGCTAGCTTAGCCACTGCTTTCAAATCTAAGACTTCAATTGAAAATAGCCACAAGATAAAATCAATAACGACTGCCAAAATGCCGATGTTATGAGAAAAGTAATAATAAATAATTCCATGTCAAATTTAAACTCTCCGACTACATGCATCGTACTAATTTCCACTAACTGTTGAAAACAGAACACAGAATGCTTGGATAAGGTATGCTCGTCTAGTTACTGAATAGAATAAAGTCCCAACAAGTAATACTGACAATTGTGATAGGTGGGAAAATAAACAAAAACAAGCTTATTATATAAGTGGTGTGGAACCATGCAATCTCAAGGGATTTAATGACAGAAATTTTTACCATGTTAGATAAAGTTTGATTCCAAACAAGGGAAAATCACACATTAAAATCCATTGTTCGCCACTTTTCGTAACATGAAGTAACATGAAGTAGTTCCAAATTAATGGAGCCATAGTAACGCGGTCGTATCTTTTCCCCTACACGGCTAAAAACGATCAGGTTGTTGCAATATTGATAAAAACAAGATTAAACTGTGTTTTGCTGCTCACACTATTCACAGTTGTCAACAATATTGAACAATATTGTTACACCCGATTCAGGCTCAACACTATTGTTCAATATTATTGACAATTAGCGTGAACAACGTGGGCAACAAAACATTGTTCAATCATGTTAAGCAGCGGGCTCAGCGTTTTTACGCGCCTATATGATTTTTCGATATTTTTTCGACAAAATAATTCTATTTTATACTTTTAACTATAATATTTAATCCCCGTGTAATATAATGTAGCGTAATGTTGTTCAACATTCCATAAACCCATGCAATCTTAAAAACGTTTTGAAATGTTCACGCGTAGGATTCACTGGGCATGGTATGTTTCATAATCTCGCTTATTACTCTTTGAACAATTCGTTTGAGATCAGTGACAATCCGTCATATTTTTGAGGTTAACGTGAGATGACCATTGATGGACTTTTCACTCCGTATAACATTCCTTTTTCCAGCTGTAAATAGCTGAATATAATCTTGAATGGTCTGTGCCAGTGTCGGTAGTGCCAATAATATTGATAGGTATAGGGATGCAATTACCTGAAAATACAAATTCGTCGAGCGAAGGCCCTTTGTCCCTGTATTTTTCAAATAGTTGGCATCCCTATAAACCAGAAACTTTCTTTTCTAACTACCTGCATGCATGAGCGCGGAATTAGTACCCTCGCTACGCGCGTTGCTCGGCAAATATATGCAATATTAAGTAAACGAGCGGCATTTTCAAACAAACAATTATAAAAATATCACCATGTTAAGCGAGGGGCGAAATTCTTCGTATTGCAAGTTATATTGAAAAAATACTATTAAAGCAGCACTGCAAACATTTAAAAACATTTCGACGTACTGGTGGAACACTATTTAAATTAAACTCTTAAAATAAAATCATGTATATAGGCAAGCTAGAAGAGCAGGTGGCCTCCTACGCAGGCGCCATTATGTTATCGTAATGAGAATAATCCACACAATTTGATAACAAAAAATATGCATGCAACAATGACGCATCATTGAGATATTAAGACAATGAGGGTTGTCACAAACAATATAGATTAAAGTCGAAAGTGCCATTTAATCCTTAATATTA